TGGGCTCCATGTCACACGCCTGTAGTCCTAGCTGGGAGGCTTAGGTGGAAGGATCGTTTGAGCCCAGGAGTTCAAGGCTGCAGTGAGCTATGATCACACCACTGCACTCCAGTCCAGGCCACACAGTGAGACCCTATCTCTATTAAAAAAAAAAAATCACAATCATAATCATTTTTAAGTATACAGCTCAGTGGTATTTAATACATTCATAATGTTGTATAACTATTACCACCATCTCTCTCCAGGACTCTTTTCATTTTTAAAACTGAAATTCCACATAACTTCCCATTTTTCCCTCCCCCACAATTGCTGGCAACCACCATTCTGTCTCTGAATTTGAATAAGTACCTCATATAAGTGGAATCATACAGTATTTGTCTTTTTATGACTGGCTTATTTCATTTAGCATGATGTCCTCAACGTTGATACATGTTGTAAGCACATGTCAAAATGTTCTTCCTTTTTAAGACTGAATAATAGTCCATTGTTAATATATACACTAAATTTTGCTTATCCATCCATCCATCAATGGACAGTTGGCTTCCACCCACATTTTAGCTATTGTGAATACTACTGCTATGAACATGGCTATACAAATATCTCTTCAAGACCTTGTTTTCAGCTGAGTGCGGTGGCTCATGCCTGTAATCCTAGCACTCTGGGATGCCGAGGCTGGAGGATTGCTTGAGCTCAGGAGTTTGAGACCAGCCTGAGCAAGACCCCATCTCTACTAAAAATAGAAAAATCAGCCAGTGTCATAGCTCACGCCTATAGTCCCAGTCACTGGGGAGGCTGAGGCAAGAGGATCACTTGAACCCAGGAGTCTGAGGTTGCTGTGAGCTATGATGATGCCACTGCACCCTACCCAGGGCAAGAGAGCGAGACTCTGTCTCAAAAAAAAAAAAAAAAAAAGACCTTGTTTTTAGTTCTTTTGGGTATATACCCAGAAGTGGAATTGCTGAATTATATGGTAATTCTATTTTTAATTTTTTGAGGAACCACCACACTGATTTCGACAGTGGCTGTACCATTTTACATTCCCACAAACAGTGCATAAGGGTTCTGATTTCTCCACATCCTCACCAACACTTACTATTTTCTTTTCTTTTTTTTTTTTTGGTAGTGGTCATTCCTGATGAGTATGAGGTGAAATTTAATTGTAGTTTTGATTTGCATTTCCCTAATGAATAGTGATGTTGAGCATCTTTTCATATGCTTATTGGCTATTATATTCTTGACAATAATTATTTATTGCAAGTATCTCCTTTAAAGAGAAAAGTCAATTGCTTTAGCCCTGTTTTTAAGACTATACTTTTAAATTAAATTAAATTGACTTTTAAATATAAAATAATTACTTTCAAAAAGTTACTGAACAATTCTAAGATTTTTTTGAGTGGCAAATAATTTGGTTGTGAGGAAGTAAGAACTAAAAAATTACTTTTATTTTCCAGGGGTCTGGAGGATAAAATAAAAAATGAAATGTTAGGATGTATAAGGAAGACATACAGAGTCACCATTATAATTATGGTTCAAACATCTTAAATATTCTGCCATGAGACATGGAGTATATACCTGGAACAATTAAAGACAAAAGCCAGCCAACGTATAAATTTTCTAGAACAGCCACTCAACCAGTATTTGTTAGATTCTTCCTTTATAACTTTTTACAGGGCTACTGAATTTGCCATATCCAGGCCAAAGAATGAGGACTTTCCTCTGTACTCAGGAATCAAAGGACTAGTGTATGCAAGGACACTACCCAAAGAGTGGTCTGAAAATGTTTTTGTGGCAAAGTAATAGGACATGAGACCACTGGATACTGTTTGAGAGGCGTTATTACAAAATTGACTTTCTGTGAGATATAAGTTCTAAAGAACTGTTAAAATTATTCCGTATATCAGGTAATCAAAAATTGACTTTTTGAGAGATGTGATAATCTTTAAAAAGTTAAAATTCTCAAGATATATGACCTTTACATGTACATTGGGTTATGTTTCCCTACTTATTTATTCTCCTGTTAGCCTTGTGAAAATCCAATTCAACTGTAATTGCTAAAGTTATTGCCTGCTTTTGGCAGCTATTTTGATGGGAGTTATAATCTTTGAGATTAGAAATTGAAAATGAAGAAGGATGTGATTTAAGCTCTGTTAATGTAGTGAATACAAATAAAATTATTATATATAGTAATTGCTATTGTTTCCTTTTCTAATCCTTCAGTCATTCTTTACAGCTGTTCATATCTATCTCATTCTAAATCTTATATTTACACATATAAATTTACCTTAGTGCCATGTAACTTACATCCCCTACCACAAAGTTAATGTCTTCTCATTACCGTTTTTATTCCCGTTTTAATCCATAGCACCTATACTCAGTGTTAGGAAAGTATATTTGTCTGCTGAGCTGTTCCTGATTTCTATAAGAAGTCCATAATCTCTTTTTTTTCTTCGTTCTTAACAGAAAGGCCACAAACTGCATACTCTTTATAGAAGCAAGCACATTGGAACATAATTCTTTCTGCCAGGAATTGTGAGGGTTTGGGCTTTGTTCAAATCTAAGCCTAAAATCTATTGCTTTTATTCCATTAAGTCACCTAAAGCAGCTTTCTTTTTTCCTGTTGGGTAGAAAGTTAAATGAGAAATTATAAAATAGTTTTTTTGCTTTCTAAGCTTTTTACATGAATATGGGATAGTGCTCAATAGTTTTAGTATATAGGAGCTGTTATTCATCTTTTATACTTTTAAATATCTTAGTTTTTAATACTAATGTTCACAATGCTTTAAACTGTCCTCTTCCTCAATAGGCATTTGGCACAAACCAAGAGGATTATGCAAGTTACATTATGAATGGTATCATCAAATGGGGTGACCCAGTTACCCGAGTTCTGGATGATGGGGAGCTGCTGGTTCAGCAGACAAAAAACAGTGACCGCACACCATTGGTCAGCGTCCTTTTAGAAGGTGAGAATGAATGATGAGATGGCATTAAAGTAAAAAAAAAAAAGAAAAGCAGCACATTTTAAAAGCCGTTTAGCACATTCCAGAAAAGTGAGTTGTTTTCAGTTCCTAACCTTGTTCATGATCTGAAAATAGTATTTCAGTCTGTGTACCAATATTGTGTACAAATTAAAATTTTATTGGGGTGGAATGTTACAGGTGAATGATAGTGGTTCGTTTTCTTGTAGGATTATATCTAAATTTATGTGGTACTTAATAGACTGAATGATACCACATAGCACTTGATTCAATTAAATATTTACTGAGAACTTGCTATATTTTAGTCATGAACTAGTTGCTGGGGAAACAAAGACATTCAAGTGTTCAGTCTGGTCATGAAAAAAGACTTGTAAAGAAATTCCTAACTACAGTGTGTATGTGTAAAAATGTACGTGAATGCAAGTTATTTTGCATAAGGGTGGTCAGGGAAAGCTAGAGATGATGTTTAATTTAGTCCTCGAAGGATCAGTTAGGATTTTATCAAGTAGACAAAAGGGGAAGGACCTTCCATTCACAGATCATTAATTTTTGTGATTAGTATGACAACAGAAACGTTCCATGAGACCACATGATTGGGGAACCTAACCCCCTCCAAAGGTCGAGGATTGAAAGCTCTCTGAGAGGAGCACATTTAATCAGGACCTGAAGGATGAGGAGAAACTGGCCAAGTAATGGGGGAAGACATTCTAGGCAGAGGGACCAGCATGTGAAAAAGTTTTGGGCAGGAAGGAGCTTGAAACAGAAAAATGAGATTGGCTAGACGTGAAACTCAAGAAGCAGACAGCAGCCAGTTCACACAAAGCCTTGTAGGCTGTGTTAAAAGATTTAGACTGTATCTTAGGAGCAGTGGGAAGCCATTTGTAGGGTTTTAAGCAGTGAAGTCACATGATCAGATTTCTGTTTTCAAAACATCCTCATGTCTGCTTTATGATGGAGAATAGATTGGAGGGGCAAAAAGATACAGTAGAGACCAATGGTTAGAAGCAGTTGCATCAGTCCTAATGAGAACTGACTGTGGTTTGAAGTAATGTGGTGATAGCAGAGATGGAGGTAAGTAGAATAATTTGAGAAATATTTAGGAGGCAGAATAAAAAAGACTGCATAATTATTATCATTCATACTTAAGCTAACATTCTTTGAGCCCTTACTGTCTGCCAGTTACTCTGCTAGCACTTTTATACATGTTATCTCATTTAAACCTCACTTCACTCCTGTGAGGGTAGATGCTGTTGTTATCCCTATTTTGTAGATGGGGAAGCCGAAGCTTAGAAATATTGGGTAGACTAAATATGGGCAGAGGTATCAAACATGACCCCCAGGTTTCCAACGTACATGGCTTGGTAAATGGTGCTGTTTACTAAGATTGGGGACATTAGTGGAGAAGCAGATTTCTAGAGGAAAGATCATGAGTTCTGTTTTGAACATGTTAAAGTCTAGGTTCATATAGGATAATTAAATTGGAAATGTTGAGGGGCCTGTTGGATATGTGGGTCTGACGCTCAGCAGAGGGGTCTGGTTGGCAGTAGATTCATGAGTTGTCCGTGTATAGCTGCCATCGAAGCCACGGAGTGGAGGAAGTCACTTACAGAAAGGGTGTGGGTTGAGATGAAGAGGAGGCCTAGAACTTATCTCTGAGGTGTGTTAACATTTAGGGACTGAATAAAACAGAATGAATTGACAAAGGAGACTGAGCAAGAGTAACCAGTGAGGAAAGGGGCCGGGGAAGAGAATGTGCTATCACAGAAGCCAGGAAAAGAAACTTAAGAAAGAGGGAAGTTATGAATTGTATCAAATGCTCCCAAGAGGCCAACAAAGATAGCATCTGTTGGGTTTGGTGACATGAAGTTCATTGGTGACCTTGATGGGAGCCTGATCAGTATAGTCGGGGTGGGAGCCATGAGGTTTGGTGGGGGTGCAGGGGAGAAGAGTGAAGGCAGCCAGGGGAGGTAATTACTATATTTTGGGAAGTTGCGTTTTGCAGGGAAAAAAGGGTTAGTGTTGAAGGGTGTGATGTTCAAAAAGAGTTTTTGTTTTTTTTATTAAATTTTCAGATAGAACAGAGCATACTTAAATGCTTTTGGAAAGGCTTCAGGGAAGACAGAGGAAGAGGATGAACATAAAGAGAAAGAGGAACAATCAATAGTGTCAGGTTCTGAGAAGATGGGAAGGAGGATTTGGTTGGTTTATGGTTGGAATAGGGACACATCTTCCAGTACACAGAAGGGAAGGGAGGGGATGTCTAAATGCAGGTAAGCTTGTAGATTTGCTTGCCTTTATGAGAAGGCCCGAGTCTTTAGAATTCTAGCTTTTTAAGTCACATTTGCTTCTAATAAGGCAGTTTTTCCCTGCCCCCAATATCGTCTCCTAAAATTACATTTTTTTGTTAGATGATTTGATAGAACTTATAAGTACTGATATGCATTTGAATGTGTTTTCTTTTTTTTTTTTAAGAAGCAAAAAACCCTTATCCTTTATATAGTTAGCCATAAGTTTGAAAGATTAAGGCTGTGTGAGAGAGTAAGAAGACATGTATTTCACCATACTCTTGAGAAATGCTAATCAGTCCATTAAGTTCAGTTGCTAATAAATAAGGGAAAACATGTCTGCTGTGAAATTGTGTCAGGAAATGTTAATGAGCAACTAGTTGAGACCTCAGTACATTGTGGATAAAAGTTTAAACTTGTTTTATTTCCCTTTGCTTAGGTTGGCTTTTTTCCCCTGACTTGCTCATATCTTTATGCAGGCCCTCCTCATAGTGGCAAGACTGCTTTAGCTGCAAAAATTGCAGAGGAATCCAACTTCCCCTTCATCAAGATCTGTTCTCCTGATAAGATGATTGGCTTTTCTGAGACAGCCAAATGTCAGGCCATGAAGAAGGTATCAGATTTTTACTTTCATTCTAATTTCCCATCTCTTGGATGTGTGTGTGTATGTACATGTATATGTATAAAACCCATAGCAACTATGTTCTTCACAAGTGGAACTAAATTATTGGGGGTGGAGGGAGAGTAACTATTTCAGATTTTTTAACTTTGCAATGCATTTTTATTGAGTAACCTTACCTTCTAAATTATGCCTTGTTCAATACATATTAAGATTAATTTCTATTTCCTAAGTTTGTATCAACTTGATGGAAAGAATCATAGTTAAGAGTGGGTAGAATAGAACAAATGCATGTGGGATTTTTTTTTTTTTTAAGTTCTTTCATTAATGTACAAAGTCAAACTGTTTGGGGTCAATTAAGTTGATTGTAGAGTTTGAAAAAGAACATAGCTATATCATTGGGAAGAATTCCCAAGAACCCCTACAAAAGGATAATTGTTAGGTAATAATCGGAGTCTACCTGACAACTTAATTTAGTCCTGATCCTTTTCCTTTTTCTAACTGCCATTTTTTGTTGTTGTTGTTGTTGTTGAGACAGAGTCTCACTCTTTTTCCCTGGCTAGAGTGTCGTCGCGTCAGCCTAGATCACAGCAACCTCAAAACTCCTGGGCTCAAGCAGTCCTCCTGCCTCAGCCTCCTAAGTAGCTGGGACTACAGGCATGCGCCACCATGCCCGGCTAATTTTTTCTATGTATATTTTTAGTTGTCCAGCTAATTTCTTTCTATTTTTAGTAGAGACGGGGTCTCGCTCTTGCTCAGGCTGGTCTCGAACTCCTGACCTCAAGCGATCCTCCTGCCTCGGCCTCCCAGAGTGCTAGGATTACAGGTGTGAGATACCACGCCTGGCCTCCAACTGCCATTTAACTCCTTCTTAATATGGCCACTTTGAACAATCAGTGAAGTTAGAATAACATAGACTAGAATCCTAGGGCTGAAAGGACTATAAGATCATCTGTCCATGTCTTACATTCAGACAAGTGCCATGTAAGGCATCTTTTGAAAAAACAGCAACAACAACAAAAATCAATGATGAAGACTTTTAACAGCTGTTTCATCTCACTTGGTAGCCCATATTTCCAGCAATAATCTAATTTTGCATACTCCCAGACCATGAGGAAATTCTTTCTTCCATCCAGCTGAAGTAGTTCTGCCACTTACATCCTTTTTTTTCATGCTTGATCTTTTATAGATATGAACTGACCAAGATTTGTGAGAAAAATCATAATTAGGGAAAAGAATCTTGAGACTCAAGGTGCTACCTAGCAAAGACAGCTCAGGGTGTTCTTTTACGTTACTCCTAGGCACTCACTCTATAAAGATGTAGCATGTAGCATAGAATTACTTCTTTAGGAGAGAGACTGGAGAGGAAAAATATATTTAAAAAGAAGAAGACTCCCAAGACGTGTTAAGTTTGAGAAGTTAGCGTAAGTTGTTTGTGCAGGTGGCAGAAAATTGCTTTTGTAGGGTGCTTGAAATGGCAGAAGCAGAACTTGAAGCAGTGTTCCAGCCATACACACGGAAACATCAAGATAAATACTCTGCATGAGAGTCTTTGAAATTGAGTGCAAAAGAGAGGGAAATGTTATTTGACACAAAAAGAACTTAGAATATCATAGTCCGTTTATTTTTAGAACATCACAGTCCATTTACTCTGAGGTGAAACCAGTAGTTTCTGTCCTTCAAAGGAAAATCTGGGTAGAATAACTTGGACTAGTAATTTTCCTAGAGTAGGTAGGGGCTTTTTTGTATGTTTTATTTTTTGTTTTCCCTCTAAAAGGAACCCTTAAGCCACTTCTGGTGAAAATTTAAATAATAGCCCTTGGAATCTCTAGCCATTGAATGTCCCATTTATTTATTGAATAGCTAATTCTGTTTGCATTTCCCCTAATCATCTGTTCTTTTACTTGTTCTAAAGTAGGAGTCTCCTTTGCAGAGGGTAAATTACTCCATTGCTCTCCACCAGCTGCTAGCTTCTACCTCAGATGTACTGAGATGTGGGTGGATGGTCCTAGTTTTTCTATAAAGTTTTTAAAAAGTACTTTAGGCTTCTGGGCTTCTGCAGATCAAAGGTGCTTTGTAAATGTGAGATATTATCATTTTTATTATTTTAATCTCTTGCAAATTGACTTGAGGGGGGAAAGTAATATGTGCTGATTTTAGAGGCTTAAATGGTTAAATTAATGGCTTAATAACTTATGATTTAATCTTTAAATTGTTGAAGCCTTTCAAGGTAGAGTTTTAGATGAGTACAAGGCTAAGGAATATAAAAATAAGTGCCTATACAAGCTTATTCAAAATTGTTTAGATTCATGATTCACTGTCTGGATCATCCATGTACTCTTAAAGTTACAAAAATTATTTCTGCTTCTGCAGTATAATAAATTCATATTAGACTTTTTGCTTTTCCTTGGGGGAAAAATATTATTCATTGTAACTAAGTTCAGAAAAGAGAAAAAAATGAATGTCTTAGAAATATATTAGAAATATTACAGAATCTTTCCCTGCATATAGTTTTCACATTGTTACTTAATGATAGGTTGACAAAAGCCTCAGGGCTCAACCCAGTCTAAAGATGCTAAGTCTTCCAGGTTGTTTTTGAAAATGAAATATAAATGCCATTCTTTAGTATTAGTTCTAGTCTGCCTCCTACTTCTGCATTTTTAGTGTGAGGATGGAAAGAAGATGTTTTATTTTTTTCAGAGCACAAATAATTTGTGATGTTTTATCATCCTGGAGAAAATATTTATTTTCTTGTAGCTTCTCCACCTCCCAAAATATGTAGCTTTTCCTAATTGTAAACATAATTTAGAAAATATAGAAAAAAACATAGAAGAAAATAAAAGTAAATCCATATTAGTACTTGTCCTTCAATTCTCTTTTCTACTCAAACACACCCCTTATGTATCAAGGATAACATTGAACATAGTGTTTTAAACCTGTTTTTTTCACTTAAAATATTATGAACTGTTTTCAGTGTCACTAAAACTTATCCCAATATTATGTTAAATTAAAAGCTGCATAATATCCCTTTAAACAGTCCCTTTTTGTTGGACATTTAGGTTGTTTCCCAGTTTTTTAATAATATTCTATAGAGCTACCAAACTAGGGAAATTCCTATCCCTCATTTTCTTATTAGATTTTTATTAGATATAGTAGCAGCATATGACTGAGAAACCTGGCGTAGGATTCAAACAGGTCTGAATTTGAATCTCATCTCCACCATACTTAGCCAGCTCCGTGACCTTGGATAAGTCACTTAAACTGTAAGCCACTATTTTCTCATCTGTAAAATGAGGATAATGTTAATAGCTGCCTCATAGGGTTATTGTGAGAATTAAATGACATGGTAATTTATGTAAAGTATCACATAGTGCCTGGGACATAATATGTACTCAGTAAAGTGGAGTGGTTATTTTTACTTGTTATTATTACTGTACATACATTTCTGATTATTTCCTTAGTATAAATTCTCAGAATTGGGATTGCTAAGGTAAAAAATGTTAACATTTTAAAGATTTTTCATATATATTGCTATCAAAACTGTTATATAAAAATACTAATGATTTATAAACCCCACCCCTTGAGAAAGTTATACTAGTTTACACTTGTAGCCCCATCATATGAGAGTATAAGTTTCCTGGGATTCTCACCCACATTTGATGTTATTAAAATATTTTTTGTTAACTTGATAAGCAAAATGTTGGCGTTCAGTTATTTCTTTAGCTACATTTTAATGACTAAATGCTCAATTTTAAAGATTTTTCAAAATAGTTTGTGAAGCTCAGAAATATTATAGCCCATTAATTTTTGTTAAAGATAGGTGGTCTGAATTGGTTAACTCATAGAGCATCTTTATATACCATTTTATTACTTAAGCCAACAGATAAGAGTTTTTGTTAGTATAGAATGCTGTTAGGCATCCTTTAATGAGTATATAAGATTTTATTATAATTATGCTATTCTTTTTTGCAAGTGGATGGTGCTAAAATACATGAAAGTAGTTCATTCTCAATTAACTTAAAGTTCACCTTGTACTTTTCTTAATTTGCTTAATAAATCCTTTCCCTGTAGATAAACTTCTCAACTGCCTAAGTATGTACGAGATATTGTCCTCACATTCTGGGGGAAGATGCCATATGTTCCATTGGAGTGTTTGAAATATTCACAGATCTTCCTCTTCTCTCCCATTTTATGTTTGCTTCCCAAACTTCATTTTTCAATTTTAACTCCTTTATCCATTTTTGCATCTATACTTTAAAAAAATCGATTTTACTAGTTCTATTAGTGGTATTAAATGAACAAAAGAACAAAGCAGTCGAATTTGATTTCAACTAATTACCTAATCTTGATGCTTTCTAAGTACACAATCAGTACAGAGATGAAATAGAACAATTGGATATGACTAAATTGAATAAAATTAAGTAAAAATATCAGTGATTTATAAAACTATACCCACTAATAACATGATATAGTCTTATTTTCAAAGGATTGAAAATTAATGGAAGAAATTTTCCTTTCCACTAGCCCTGCAAGAAAGAAATAATCTTCTTTGAATATCCTTCTGTAAATCCCACTGCAAATTGTAGTCTGCACAGAACAGAATCATGGTGCCTAATCCTCCTCTTTTCATGGTTTAGTCTATACAAAGAGCAGAGCTGGAAATTAGATCTTTTGACACAGTTACTAAGCAACAGAATTTGGATGTTTTTGGTTAACATCCTAATATATCATGTAGCTGATTTGTTGAAGTTTGTGCGTGTATTAGCGGAGAGAAGAACACACTCCAGAAGTGACTACAGGTCCCCTGTGTGGCTGGTTGCGGGGGTAGGCATTTGTTGTTGTTTTGTTTAATACACCGTCTTTTGGCACTTGTATCTGTGTGGCATACAAAGGAGGTGGTGCAGAACTTTCAGACCTTGTGACTTTTTGTATTATTAAAAATACCCCATTCTGTGGCTCATGTTATATGAAAATGTAAGATTTTTTTCCTGAAAAGCAGAAAGAACAAATAAAAAATTTTAAGGTCATTCCAGGAAGCTTTAGTGCTTTGCCAAAAGTTTAGGTCCACTTCCCGAGGCAGTTTCATTAGAAGACAGCTAATGTTTGCTTGGTCTACTCCCAAGTTATTTTTAGAAACTAGAGATTATTACAGATAGCACCAATTTGAATTTGCTCATTTACGTTTTTATATGCTACCCAATATGATTAGAGTACGCTTTCAGCTAATCGCTGACAGATTTACTACCTTAGAGATTTTCTATGCCATCAGATTCCTACAGTCATCAGATTTCTCCTAACTATGTACTTCACACCAACCACTTCAGAATTGAGATGAACTCTTTCAGGCCCCAAAAGAACCAAAAAATTTGGCTTCCCTTACCTAAGAGCACTAAGGAGGTCACAGAGGATGGAGGACAGAATCTCCTCAGAGCGTGCTTTGCTGTGGCTTGTGATTCTGAAAGGCTGGGATTAATGGAGCTAATGCTGGCGTGTTCCCATTTGTATTCATGTAGACTCCAGAGGCTGCAGCTGCTGCGCCTCCCTACATACAGGTGGCTCCCAGCTTGGCTTAAGAGCTTGACGAGCACCATATTCAGGCCTGCCCCTAATCGCTGTGTGACAGGAGCCTGCTTCTCCCTCGGTGCTCAAGAGTGCATCCAGCATATTCTCACCTTGAGCCCAGACTCTCCACATTCTGGGTTGTCTGTCACAACCCTCAAGCTTGTGTCATATCTTTGCATGCAAGAGAAGTGGTACCAGAGAGTTTAATGGTTACAATCTCATATGCACAGCTAGAAATAGACTATGGGACTCTGTTTGCTAGAGATGTTCCTCAACCTTTGTGAGAGATCTCTCATTATTTCATAAGACTCATGGTGCTCATGCCACTCCTTCCCATATGGTTTCCTTCTTCAACTCTGCCCATTTTTTTTCTTTAGCCTTCTCTTGCAGACTTCCCATCTGACTTTAAGACCCTGGTATATTGTCTGATAATCTTACCTGCTCTATAGGAAACTTCTGATAAAACTAGGATGACCCTCTATTCTTTAGACTAATTTTTTTAAAGAATCTGTAAGACATAGCCCTTTCCTCCAGCTTCAGCCCTCCTGGCTGCCTCTGTGTTGAGGCATCATTTGATCTGGAGCAGGCACTGTGTATCTGTGTGCTGTTACTGATGGTGAGTTTGCACTGTTCTAACTGGGGCCGTTTGTACAATTTTACTTTTCCTACATCTTTCTAGTACTTCTCTGTTTTGCGTTTATCTTCCTAAAGTTGTGGTAGACCTTCCTGGCTCAGTATGTAAATATCT